TCATTTGTTACCAAAAATGTTGGTTTCAACCGGTAAATTTTTGTTCAAGACAACCACGAATAACGTCGGCGTCGCATCATATGAATGATACTTTCACAAACCAACAATATATTATTGTAATTTTGGGTTTTGTTATTACTTGTATATAAAGGAATTGACAAAAACTGATTATAAAAGGGGAAAAACATTACAACGCAAGGCGGTGGGTCCGATTCCATAAATGACTATTTAAGAGTTCACTTAAACACGGCTTCTTTGAACGATAACTGCTATGACGGAACGAAATAAGTCAATATCTTATTTAAGCAGGCTTCATAGACAATGGTTACGACTGCATTAGTTGACTTATTATTTGAAAGAATGTAACCATAAGTCAAATAATTTTATATAATTCTGATATTATATTTCTGGCAGGTGGAAATAGATCTACCTGAATATTCACATGAGGAGACAATAAAGGGACTGGCAAGATAATAAAGATAGCCTGAAGAAGCCATGGACATGTGCCTAAACAAACCATGAACATATCGCTGAAAAAGCTATGAGCATGTGTTTGAATAAGTAATAACATTCTGTTGAGAAAACCATGAACATATGGCTAAGCAAGCCATGAACATATGCCTGAGAAAGCCATGAACATATGCCCGAAAAAATAATGAATATATGCTTGGGAAAGCCATGCACGTATGCCTGAGAAAGACATGAACATATGCATGAGAAAGCCATGAACATATGCCTGAGAAATCCATGAACATAAGCCATAAACATAAGCCTGAGAAAGCCATGAACATATACCTGAGCAAGTCATGAACATTTGCCTGAGCAAGCGATGAACATATCCACGAGGCAGCCAAAAACCATGAACATGTTATAGCAAGTCAAAATCAGGTAGCTAGAAATTAACTGTTATTCAAATGTTATTTGTTACTCTTACTAATTGTTGTTATAACTGTTACTTTAATACTATTTAACTGTTGTTGTTACTGTTACAATCTTATTGTTCCTGTTTCTGTTATTGTAACTGTTACTTTATTGTTACTTTTATGTTATTTTGCTGTTATCAATTGTTATTGTTACTGTTACATTTTTGTTATTGTTCCTGTTACTGGTATTGTTACACCCTTGTTACTTTGTTATTGTTGCTGTTACTAATTGTTATTGTTTCAGCTACTGTTACATTCCGGTTACTGATGTTGTTACATTCTTGTTGTTGTTGCTGTTACCAATAGTTATTGTTACTGTAACTTGAATGTTATTGTTAATCTAACTAATTGTTATTGTTACTGTTATTCAAATAATATTTGTTACTCTTACTAATTGTTATTATAACTGTTACTTTAATATCCTTGTTACTGTTATTGTTACTGTTATACTGTTATATTTTTGTTATTGTTCCAGTTACTGTTATTGTTACCTTCTTGTTATTGTTCCAAGTACTGTTATTTTTACTGTTTCATTCTTGTTATTGTTCAAATTACTGGTTTTGTTATTGTAACTTTCTTGTTATTGTTCCTGATACTGTTTAATTCATGTTATTGTTCCAGTTTCTGTTATTGTTACTGTTACTTTCCTGTTTATGTTCCAGTTACTGTTATTGTTACTGTTACTTTCTTGCTATTGTTCCAGTTACCGTTATTGTTACTTTCTTGTTATTGTTCCAGCTACCGTTATTTTTACTGTTACTCTCTTGTTAATAATCCAGTTGTTGTTATTGTTACTGTTACTTTCTTGTTATTGTTCCAGTTACTGTTATTGTTGCTGTTATTTTCTAGATATTGTTCCAGTTACTGTTACTTTCTTGTTTTTGTTCCAGTTACTGTTATTATTACTGTTAGTTTCTTGTTAATGTTCCGGTTAAAGTTATTGTTACTATTTCATTTTGTTATTGATCTAGTTACTGTTATTGTTACTGTTACTTTCTTGTTATTGTTCAAATTACTGTTACTGTTACTGTTTCATTCTTGATTGTGTTCCTGTTTCTGTTATTGTTACAGTTACATTCTTGTTATTGTTCAAGGTACTGTTATTGTTACTGTTACTTTCTTTTGGTTGTTCCAGTTACCGTTATTGTTATTGTTTCTTTCCTGTTATTGTTCCAGTTACCGTTATTGTTACTGTTACTTTCTTGTTATGATTCCAGTTACTGTTACTGTTTCATTCTTGATTTTGTTCCTGTTACTGTTATTTTTACTGTTTCATTATTGTTATTGTTCAAGTTACTGTTTTTGTTATTGCTACTTTCTTGCTATTGTTCCGGAAACTGTTATTGTTACTGTTTCATTCTTGATTTTGTTCCTGTTACTGTTATTTTTACTGTTTCATTATTGTTATTGTTCAGACTTTTAAAGGATTAATCTTTTGCTGTGTTGGACCACCGGGGGTTGTGAAGACATGTGTTAGAATATCTGTAACTCGAACGCATATCAAGAGGTTGTTACAGGTATGTAAATTACACACCTTATTACAATTGTGATATAGTAGATTCAAGATTCAAAAGTTTATTTTACGTAATATAGGCCTCTTTCCCAACATACACACCAACATATATTAATTTAACATTGTTTAAGGGTTGTGATCATACATTTTATATAGAGGATATTGAATGATTTGATACTAAGCCTACTGAACGAGTAAAACAAAATTCAAAGAACGGTTCTCATATTCTTTAGTATTACATAAGTATGCAAATATATCTATGTAATTTCAGCCAGAGTAAGACATACGAGATGTGAAATGTGCTGAGTGTTTATAAGTGTTTGACTAGTTTATTGTAACCTATTTTACACACAGCTACAGTATATATACCTAGACAATTGTCATTTTTACTGATTCATTACACTGTACAACTGTTTTCATTGAATAAGATTAAAATTTATTGGATATAAATATGTAAAACTTAAATTATATGCATGAAGTATTTTTATATTCAACAAATTGTTTTAGCAGCAAGATCGGGAAGTGTTAAAATGTCGGTATATAGAAGAATACAAGTCTTTAAGTCTACAAGAACGGTATTTTGGATATATGTAGTATCTGAACAGTTATAATGTTTAGTATTGCCCAGTATAAAAGTAACTTGCAGTTCCTTGTAAAAGTGAAGACAACTAGTACTGGTAAACTGCTTGGCAGCGTACCATGGAACGATGCTGTCGCTGAACAATGCTCTTGTTAATTAAGTAGCTTACTGCTGTGATCAGGGGGTCAAACTACAAAAAAAAAAAAAAAAAAAAAAAAAAAAAAAAGCAAAAAAAACAACCCCGGTATACTGTTTATTAAAGAGCTTTATTTGGTTTATATGGTTTTCAGGCGTGTGTAGTTGTAAGGTGAAGAACTAACATAACGGAAAATGTTCTAAAAAGAATTAAAATTGATAGTGACTTTGCTTGCTCTCTTTTTTGTTGTCGCATTTGTTATAAAGGTCTTCCTTTTAACCATTACACACATATAGATTTGTTTTGTACTGTATGTGGAAAACACTTCGATAACATGAAACCTCACCCATAGAATTTTATAATTACAGGCGAAGAGTGCGGTTGTGTTTTGGTTGTGCTGATATACTGCCTGGTTGACTCACATACCCAGCCTGATAGATGAAACTGACAAGACCACAGATATCATTAACCCTTACTTTGCTGATGGCAACACATTTGATTCTTGTAACAAATGCAGACCAATATCAGCCGGCATATTTACAATGCCTGATAGTGGTCTTCACAATTCGCTATTCAGCCAATAAATAATTTTTGAAATTTCCCTAAAATTGGTGAATGTGTTTTGCCAAATTGAAAGATGGACAAGAACATTAAAAAGACATTTATCATGGTAATGGTTAGTACTTCTCCACATGTGTTTTTTATGTTGGAAGGGTGGTTTCAAGTTGAATTTAAGAAAATATTTTGAAGAAACGTTTATAGCCAACAATAATCACTTATTGGATATTAGAGACACGGCAAATATAGTAAAATATTACAGAAATGCAAAGATGATTATCTTATATAAGAACATGGCATTACGCACTTTGCAAACATTAATTTTACAAAATTTCCATAACTATTGATACATTAAGTATGTAAATATATTGTTAAATAAATGAAATTTGAAAAATGAAAATTGTTGTGTTGCCTTTAATCATCCCTACCAACTTAAACTAAATCTAGGTCCCTTTAAATGTACATTAATTCTCTGTAATGAACACAATATTACTTTTCTAGAAAGGGCAAAATGTAATAGTGTCATAATGTTAAGAAGACGTATTTTTGTCACCTAAAGACCGTATTTCTAGATGTAAAATAATCTGCCATAAATATAGCAAATTGAAAATGAAATGTGGAGTTGGATATGCGTGGTTTGACATTGGAAACGGGCATGGTATGATTAAGGTGTGGGCCACAGCACAAGTATATGTAAAGGGTGGAATAAACTTACGCTTGTTGTCATTGGCTGTTATTGTTACTGTCACTTTCTTGTTATTGTTTAAGTTACTGTTTTTGTTATTGCTACTTTCTTGTTATTGTAATATATTTAATATATTTAACCACTTCATAATCAGTATACTGTTTGATCTTTAAAACTACGTTTTTCAAACATGGATACTAGTTGATGAATAGAACATTTTCAGGTATTTATAAAAAGAGTTTGAAGCATAAAAGTGTTAATTGAATTAGTCAGAGGCATAAAACAAAGTCAGGGTTATTGGGGTATACGGGTTCTACTGAGTACATTTAGCTAAAAGAGCTGTATACTGCCTGGGACAGAAGTTATCTTCTGTCTCAGATATTTCTAAGGCGAAAATATAATTGTCATAAGCGGAGTAAATGACTCATTTGGAACACCAGGGTGCTATTGGCAAGGGATAAAGCTACACATTCTTTACACGTGACCATGATGTGAAACGCTGTATAAGAAACATTTCTTTTATCAGATAATTGTGTTTTCCTTGGAGAGGTGGAATTATTTTTACATAATAAATGGAGAAAATCTCCTGAAATAAGAAATTGTACACGTTTTTATTTTGTTTTATTGAAAATAAAGAAATTCCTATTTACATTTACCTATAGCTGACTAGCTTAAAAACGTTTGATTGAAAGAAATAAAACAAAATGTACATAAAAAACAACAGCAAACAATTGTTTATGGCATCACAGATTTCATTAACAATCCAACTTTTGATATCATAGACGGTACCGTATACATATATTTAAGAATGAACTTGATACATTGTTATTTTCATAATTATAGCATTGCTACAAAAAGCTAAATTGTAATGAAATACTTGAATAACAATTTACACAACTTCCTGAAATATATATACTTTAGTTACACAACTGATTTATAAATTGAAGGAAAATTTACTACCTGAGTGTGATCTTAATACAGACATGGGAAACAATAAGATTCTTACGTTAGTTTAAAACTTTCTTTAGGGATCTTTATTTTCTCTATTTTACACGCGCTGACTGTGACATATAAAAAGGTATCGCACTGACTGTGATATATAAACTAGCACGGTAGTTGACAATTTACACAACGAACAGTAAGCTATGTTAGTTAAAAATTACGCAATAAATGTCACGACGAGTTTATGCCGTGCCTTATTTCAGTACATTTCGATTGTTTATTGCGCAGTTTGGTATTATATAAATTTTAGTGATGCAACCTTTAAATGCAGCTCATCTGCTTGAATTAGTTTTATCTAAGTAACGATGTAGCACCCTTATTTAGTCTAGTTATCAGCTTAATAAGAAAGAGATATGAATATGGCTTATCATTTGATGTATAGATAGTTCTATAATTCAAAGTTCTCCTGAGAATATTGTATGTAGAAAAAGAAACCAAGAATACATCTAAGAGCAATAAAAATAAGTAAAACAAAGTAACTAAAATGCCCGTTCCTAAAATGTATTTATTTTCAAAAAAAAAGTTAAAATCAGGATTTTGAAATTGCTAGCACGCTATTCATTTATCATGTGGTCTACATACATAAGGATGTTCTCGGCTTTAAAACCTGTTTCAAAACCTCTTTATTACAAAGAAATTATTCCTTAATAAAAAGTGTAATAAATCCTACCATAAATGTTTATGTCATAATGACGTGACGTCAATAAATCACATTACGTCAAATCACTCTGAGAATTTCTATATCTACTTTAAAGTATAAAAAATAACATTTCTAGGCTCGTGTGAAATATTTTATAACAGTTACTAACTAAGATTCTAACCCTGCTGAAACCGAAAGAAATTTATTATCCTTTGCTACCAGTATAGATCAAAGTCAGTCTGTACTTTTATCCGCATTGTCCAGACTTTATTCTGTAAGAAACTCTTTTCTTCTGTACTCATTCTTAAATCACACAAACTTTGAATAAACCGTACACTATTCAAAGCAGGGGAAATTTATTACACAAATTCACCTTATTAATGGTTCAAGTCTTTAGGAATGACATTCTAGTAAACTGCTAGGTGCTTCGGAACAATAAAAATCGTTAAAAATATACAATTCCAAGCAAAAATTAAACAATAATGGCCATTCAAAGTGAAATGCAGAAAGAAAACAATCTATAATACATATATCACAGATAAAAAGGTCATGATTACAACGTTATTAAAACAACATAATCTTCTGAAATAAATAAATAATAAAAATAACCCGGTACAGACTGTCACATTTCTAAACAAATTAAATTACGTTCGCCACGGCACATCTTTTTTCAAGACAGGTAGAGATCTGTACTTGGATATTAAACAAAAAACATAAAAAAGGCTAAGTACTGATTAATTTGTCAACGTGAGAATTACCAGTTAAAAGTATTACAAAAAATTAATGTTTACTTTGATATAGATTTTATCTTTTTTAGTAGAAAAATAAGTACTTTAATTTATCGGTATTTCAATTATTCAATGTAACAATGGAATATACCAAGTTTTGAGGAAAAATAATAACAGTTAAGCCAGTAGGCAAGACTTCAGCACTTGTATGCGTGACCAGATCTTTTGTCAATGCATGTAAAGAGAAACACGTTCATACGTCTAAATTCTGTCAAAATGTTTCACAGTCTACATATGTACAGACTCTGTATCCGTGATATTGTCGTTTGGCACTTGAATTGGAAGAGACGATTCTACCTTTTTGCTTCTCTGCGATCGCTTCACTTTGGATTTATCAGTAGAGTCAAAGAACTCGGGGTCAGCCCCCATGTTGTACTCTCGGGTCCCGTCAAATATTTCAACTTCTTTGTTCTTATTTCGTCTTCTTGACTTTTTCTTCTTCTTCCCTTCTGTCGTTTCGGTCGCCGAGTCTCTCATTGGCAAGGGAGGTAACTGATGAGCCTTTACACCGGAAGTGTCCGGAAACTCTTCTGTCATTATTCCTAGTGTGGCCTTGTTTCCGAAAATAAGCCGTTCGTTTGAGTCTGCTCGTCCTGTATAATCTTCACCTTCAGTGTGAAGATCTTCTTCTTCTGTTTGTGGCTCGGATTTATCGTCTGCTGGTCTGATTGTCATTTCTCGTTGCTTACGACGGTAAATGACAAATACAACGATAAGTAAAACAATGACAATAGCTAACAATATGCCAAGTACAATAAGAGGGATCAACAGGTCAGATCCTGTTTCCTCTGTGGACCTCCCAACCGGTGGTGGCGATACCCCAGATGTGTTTGTCATCCGCTCATACACCTTAACTGTCAATATGCCAATTGACGACAGATCTTTATCCGGTAGATCTTTTCTTACCTGAATACAAAATTGCAATCTTATTTAACAAGACTATTCAAAGCGTCTAAAAGATATTCATTTAAACAATCTGCATTACTTTATTTTGTCATTAAAAGTAAAGTAGGTCTACCTTTTGAATTTTATTTTCAATAGCCAAACCAGTTTGTTTCTCTGCGTAACTTTTAGCCCGGTTATGTAATGAACCGAATTTAAACAACACTGGTATGGATCAAAATCAACAGTTATATAAAACAACAAGTCATTGTTAGTTTACATTACCTCAAGGACTAGTCTAAACTCTTTATCTGGACGGTTTGCTTCGCTCACAGATCTGCTTTGATCCACAGCGCCAGTGGCAGGGTCCATTCTGAACAGATTATGCTGGTTACCTGAAATATAAAAGCAATAATCTGATCACTAAGGGTCGTAATTAAGTGTTTTGATTCTAATCGATTTTTAACTATTATTCTTAGTTTACTAGTTATACTACATGGGAGAATGTTATTATAGAATCATATCATTGTAAGGAACTAAAAACATTTGCTTTGGTTATTGCAATCTAACAAAATCAGTATCAAGTTTTATACCAGAACATAATTGAAGCATATTTGGTTAAAAAGGAACATCAACATAAAGCAATTTCTGCAACATGAGTGGTGACGTTAACATTTGTACTCTTATCTCTATCAAATCTTAAAGCAATCCTCACTTCTTACATCATTATCCATTGAATAATAATATGCTTTCATTTTTAGCAACAAATTTTCCACAAACGCATTGATATCCTCTTAATGATAAGCCCGAGAAAAAATGAGCTTAAAATCGTTAGCACTAACAGCGGATCTCAAAACAGTGAGCTCGGAGAAGAGAGAGCCTGAAGCTCTTGATTCATTTAATTTGATACAATTTGGTGTTTACTTTAAACTAAGTGTTGCTGAATTGATGTTTATCTTGCCAATTTGCCCTTTTATTCTTTCATGAATCCGTTGTTAATATAATACTCACCAGATTTAATTGAATACACCAGAGGCGTCCCGAGAGTGTCGGAGTCGTTCCCGTGGATGGCTGGTGTAATAGTCAAAGGACCCTAGACAATGATAAAGATAGCAACAAAATAGGAAACTTGTTGTTATACACTATGTGATTTCATTATTTACATTAATTTTTTTCCGCCTAGTTAGATATGTTTTTGGTGTAAAATTGAAATTTGTTACTGTTCTTCTAGAAATTTAGTAGCTGTTGTTATTCATGTAATAGCATGATCGGCACTACAAAGCAAAAAGTACTTAATACATCAATAATTTGAAACTTTCTTATCATCATCATCATCATCATCATCATCATCATCATCATCATCATCATCATCATCATCATCATCATCAACAACAACATAACCATCATCTTCATCACCAAAATCAATGAAAATAACAACAATAGCATTAGCAACATAGCATTTTGTTGGTATAAATGTCTACGATCTGCTTCAAAATGACGAATTGCTAGGATTTTACGAAAAGTCTAGTTTTATTTTGAGTCTGTAACTTGAAAGAAAGGAAAAAATATCAACATATTTGCATGAAAGTGTCGGACCCTCTCCGTTATTCCCAATGCTTGAAAAGTTTTATAAGTGCATGTGATGTCATTTTAGTTCATTTACAGAATATAAGTACTTTGTGATCTAGTCGTATAATAGATAAAAATGGTGGCGCTGGACAAGGCGGAGGACAATCAGGATATTCAAAGTATGGAGGCTGATCATCGACATCTGTTACACTTATGTTTAAGGTGGTATAAGCTGTCTTGGCGGTAGGACTAGGTGGCTGCTCATCCTGTTGAAAAGAAATTCAAAGGATTGATTAAATGTCATTTAATATGGTGGCTGATTTCTGCCATGTCGTAACTTCGTTCTGTCGGGGCTGAAGGGGCGACAACACGAAAGCACGAAATAACGAAAAAAATACGAATTCTTGTTTTTTTCGGACAGTTTTTATCGTTTTGTCGTTACTTCATGTCGGCGCCCTTCAAACGCGACATCACGACAAAACGAAAATATGAAAGCTCCGATACGATATTTTATTGCGACAACACGAAGATAAAAATATTGTGTTTCTTGGCGAAAGGCGACACCACGCCGAAACGAAATTAACATTCCTTCGTTCTTTCATGTTGTCGCATCTGTTGCATACAAAGGCGACAGAACGAGAAAGCGCCGAATATAAGGCGCCAACACGCCGAATATGGGATGTACATAAAGTTAGTTCCCTATTCCTTATTCCTTATTCCTTTTTCGAATAAGGAATAAGGAATCAGTTCCTTATTCCTTTTTCGAATAAGGAATAGGGAACTAGTTCCTGATTCCTTATTCAAATCTAAATAAGGAACAACAGAATTAGTATTTATTTAAAATACAATTTATACCTCATTCAAATCATTGCATAAAGAATCTGCATAAATTATTTTGAAAAAAAAATGTAAAAGTCGAATTAGGAATAGGGAACCAGTTCCTTATTCCTTATTCAACTCCGAATAAGGAACAGAAGAAAACACGGAAAGAAAGACACCAGTTGCAATTATTTTTGATGAATCTGCATTAGAATTGCAAGGATCAATCATAACAAGAGCTGTCGGTAGGACAGCAACGCTCGACTATTCTTAGTGCTTGATAGTAAAAAAAATACTTGATACAGTTACCTCCTCCTGTTTACAGGTTGGGGTCATGATGGTGAACAAGTGTGCAAAGTTTCAAAGCCATATGTCAATGGACTTTTAAAATGTTTGAACTATTACATAAACTTAAACGTAAATTCTAAGTCGAAAAAGGGGCATAATTCTGTCAAAATGCTTGATAGAGTTACCTCCTCTTGTTTACAGGTTGGGGTCATGACGTTAAACAAGTGTGCAAAGTTTCAAAGCCATATGTCAATGAACTTTGAAAATATTTGAACTATTACAAAAACTTTGACGTAAATTCTAAGTCGAAAAAGGGGCATAATTCTGTCAAAATGCTTGATAGAGTTACCTCCTCCAGTCTAAAGGTTGGGGTCATGATGGTGAACAAGTGTGCAAAGTTTCAAAGCCATATGTCTATGGACTTTGAAAATATTTGAACTATTACAAAAACTTTAACGTAAATTATAAGTCGAAAAAGGGGCATAATTCTGTCAAAATGCTTTATAGAGTTACCTCCTCCTGTCTACAGGTTGGGGTCATGATGGTGAACAAGTGTGCAAAGTTTCAAAGCCATACGTCTATGGACTTTGAAAATATTTGAACTATTACAAAAACTTTAACGTAAATTCTAAGTCGAAAAAGGGGCATAATTCTGTCAAAATGCTTGTTAGAGTTACCTCCTCCTGTCTACAGGTTGGGGTCATGATGGTGAACAAGTGTGCAAAGTTTCAAAGCCATATGTCAATGGACTTTGAAAATATTTGAACTATTACAAAAACTTTAACATAAGTGGTTACGCCGACGCCGACGCCGACGCTCGGGTGACTGCAATAGCTCTACTTATTCTTATCGAATAGTCGAGCTAAAAATCATGAAATGAAGCATCTGCATAAAAGTATTTTTGAAAAAAAATGTTAAAGTCGAATAAGGAATAGGGAACCAGTTCCCTAGTCCTTATTCAACTCCGAGTAAGGAACAGAAGAAAATACGTAAAGAAAGAAACTAGTTGCAATTATTTTTGATAACTCAGCATATGAATTGAAAGGATCAATCATAAGAATCATGAAATAAAGCATAAGCATAAAAATATTTCGGAAAAGAAATGTTCAGGTTCATTCGACTCCGAATAAGGAACAGAAGTAATTACGCAAAGAAAGACACCAGTTGCAGTTATTTTGATAAATCTGAATTAGAATTGCAAGGATCAATCATTAAAACCATGAAATAAAGCATCTACATATTTTTTTTTGAAAAAAAAAATGGTAAAGTCGAATAAGGAATAGGGAACCAGTTCCTTATTCCTTATTCAACTCCGAATAAGGAACAGAAGAATATACGTAAAGAAACACACCAGTTGCAGTTATTTTTGATAAATCTGCATAAGAATTACAAAGATCAATCATTATAATCATGAAATAAAGCAATTACATAATTATTTTTGAAAAAAATGTTAATTTCGAATCAGGGATAGGGAACCAGTTCCTTATTCCTTATTCAACTTCGAATAAGGAACAGAAGGAAATACGTAAAGAAAGACACCAGTTGCAGTTATTTTGGATAAATATGCATAAGAAATGCAAGAATCAATCATTAAAACCATGAAATAAAGCATCTGCATATTTTTTTGTTTTGGAAAAAAAGGTTAAAGTCGAATAAGGAATAGGAAACCAGTTCCTTATTCCTTATTCAACTCCGAATAAGGAACAGGATGAAATACGTAAAGAAAGACACCAGTTGCAGTTATTTTTGATAAATCTGCATTAGAATTGAAAGGATCAATCATAAAAATCATGAAATAAAGCATAAGCATAAAAATATCTCGGAAAAGAAATGTTCAGGTTCATTCGACTCCGAATAAGGAACAGAAGTAATTACGCAAAGAAAGACACCAGTTGCAGTTATTTTGATAAATCTGCATTAGAATTGCAAGGACCAATCATAAAAACCATGAAATAAAGCATCTACATATTTTTTTTTTGAAAAAAATGGTAAAGTCGAATAAGGAATAGGGAACCAGTTCCTTATTCCTTATTCAACTCCGAATAAGGAACAGAAGGAAATACGTAAAGAAAGACACCAGTTGCAGTTACTTTTTTATAAATCTGCATTAGAATTGCAAGGATCAATAATAAAAATCATGAAAGAAAGCATCTGCATAAAAAGTGTTGTGTAAAGAAAATGTTCAGGTTCATTCGACTCCGAATCAGGAACAGAAGTTATTACGTAAAAATGACAGCAGTTGCAGTTATTTTTGATAAATCTGCAGAAGAATTGCAAGGATCAATCATTAAAATCATGAAATAAAGCATCTACATAATTTTTTTTTGAAGAAAAATGTTAAAGTCGAATAAGATATAGGGAACCAGTTCCTTATTCCTTATTCAACTCCGAATAAGGAACAGAAGGAAATTGGTTAAGAAAGACACCAGTTGCAGTTATTTATGATAAATCTGCATTAGAATTGCAAGGATCAATCATAAAAATCATGAAATAAAGCATCTACATAATTCTTTTTTTAAAATGTTAAAGTCGAATAAGGAATAGGGAACCAGTTCCTTATTCCTTATTCAACTCCGAATAAGGAACAGAAGAAAATACGTAAAGAAACACACCAGTTGCAATTATTTTTGATAAATCTGCATAAGAATTGCAAGGATCAATCATTTACATCATGAAATAAAGCATCTACATATTTTTTTTTTAAAAAAATGTTAAATTCGAATAAGGAATAGGGAACCAGTTCCTTATTCCTTATTCAACTCCGAATAAGGAACAGAAGAAAATATGTAAAGAAAGAAACCAGTTGCAGTTATTTTTTTATAAATCTGCATTAGAATTGCAAGGATCAATCATAAAAATCATGAAAAAAAGCATTAGCATAAAAATACTTTTGAAAAAAATTGTTCAGGTTCATTCGACTCTGAATAAGGAACAGAAGTAATTACGTAAAGAAAGACAGCAGTTGCAATTATTTTTGATAAATCTGGAAAAGAATTGCAAGAATCATTCATTAAAACCATGAAATACAGCATCTACTTAATTTTTATTTAAAAAAATGTTAAAGTCGAATAATGAATAGGGAACCAGTTCGTTATTGCTTATTCAACTCCGAATAAAGAACAGAAGGAAATACGTAAAGAAAGACACCAGTTGCAGTTATTTTTGATCAATCTGCATAAGAATTGCACCTCTGGGAGAATGTCTCCGTTCTGAAAACGCTTTGGTTGCCACACTCTATGCCCTGTGCATATTCTAAAGACAAAATTGTTAGAATAGTTAGTTATCAACTGTCCTTTTTACAATTTTATAAGTTATATAAAGCAATCGTACTTATGAAATTCCATCATCTTTTTTATAGATATAATGAAACACAGTAGTCAAAAGTGATATATCATTAGTTATAAAGATTCTTGACAGATTATATGGCCCTATATAAACGATTGTTTGTATATATAACCCGAGCCGCTGGGCGAAGGTAATATTGCATACAACCTTTTATATACGGCCTTATAACATGTCAGGAATCTTTATGACGAATTTATAATACAGTAGACTTCCCTTTTTTAGGAATTATGTGATTTCTACATAAACTGAAAGAAGCCGTGTATATAAAGCTTTATTATACTGCACGTTTGTAACGTCGCTTTTCAAAGGATAATCGTGACGTTTATATAATTTTATATACACGGCTGATGTCGATTCATAAATAAATCTTACTTTTTTTCTCTAAAAATGATGTTTGTTGTATTATAAATTCGTTATAAAGATTGCTGAAAGGTTATATGGCCGTATATAAACGGATGTTTGCAATATAACCCTCGCCTAGCGGTTCGGGTTATATGTACAAATAGCCGTTGATATAGGGCCATATAACCTGCCAACAATCTTTATAACTAATAATATAAACGTCATTATTATCCAATGAAAAGTGACGTTACAAACGTGCAGTATTATATAGAGGATATTGAATGAGTGTAGGTTTAATACTAAATTTATTGAACGAGTTGAATAAAATCATATTTTGCGAGCCTCTGGCGAGCATAATATTGTTTTATTCAACGAGTTCAATAAATTTAGTATTGAATCTACACGAATATAATATTCTATTTATCACATATATAAAATAAGAACGGTAAACTGTTAACAAGGGTCATTTTTGTTTGACGCGCCTGTAGTGTAACACTAACATTAGCGCGCTTTAACGCTATGTTTATAGCGCAAATGACGTGACGTCAAAGTGTTATTACACTAGTGTAATATCGTCTAGTGTAATATCGTTTTTATTAAATGGCTTTATTACACTCCTGCGCCGCGGTTTATGTGATAAAAAGTGTTATATAACTAGTTTCGTCTAATATTAGGCACACAGTTCGAACCCTACTTGCACACGAAGTAACTTTGGATTAAATAAAACTATGCAGAACAATTAAAAATTAAAAAAAAATGTAGATGCTTTATTTCATGATTTTAATGATTGATTCTTGCAATTCTTATGCATATTTATCAAAAATAAATGCAACTGGTGTCTTTCTTTACGTATTTCCTTCTGTTCCTTATTCGGAGTTGAATAAGGAATAAGGAACTGGTTCCCTATTCCTTATTCGACTTTAACATTATTTCAAAAAGAAATTATGTAAATGCTTTATTTCATGATTTTAAAAATATGTAGATGCTTTATTTCATGGTTTTAATGATTGATCCTTGCAATTTTAATGCAGATTTATCAAAAATAATTGCAACTGCTGTCTTTCTTTACGTAATTCTTTCTGTTCCTTATTCGGGGTCGAATGAACCTGAACATTTTTTTCCAAAATATTACTATGCTAATGCTTTATTTCATGATTTTTATGATTGATCCTTGCAATTATAATGCAATTTTATCAAAAATAACTGCAACTGGTGTCTTTCTTTTCGTAATTTCTTCTGTTCCTTATTCGGAGTTGAATAAGGAATAAGGAACTGGTTCCCTATTCCTTATTCGACTTTAACTTTAAAAAAAAAATTATGTAGATAATTTATTTCATGATTTTGATTATTGATTCTTGCAATTATTATGCATATTTATCAAAAATAAATGCCACTGGTGTCTTTCTTTACGTATTTCCTTCTGTTCCTTATTCGGAGTTGAATAAGGAATAAGGAACTGGTTCCCTATTCCTTATTCGACTTTAACATTTTTTTCGAAAAGAAATTATGTAAATGCTTTATTTCATGATTTTAATGATTAATCCTTGCAATTCTTATGCAGATTTATCAAAAATAACTGCAACTGGTGTCTTTCTTTACGTAATTCTTTCTGTTCCTTATTCGGAGTCGAATGAACCTGAACATTTTTATCCAAAATATTTCTATGCTAATGCTTTATTTCATGATTTTTATGATTGATCCTTGCAAATATAATGCAGATTTATCAAAAATAACTGCAGCTGGTGTCTTTCTTTACGTAATTTCTTCTGTTCCTTATTCGGAGTTGAATAAGGAATAAGGAACTGGTTCCCTATTCCTTATTCGACTTAAACATTTTTTTCAAAAAAAAAATAAGTAGATGCTTTATTTTATGATTTTAGTTATTGATTCTTGCAATTCTTATGCATATCTATCAAAAATAAATGCTGTCTTTCTTTACGTAATGACTTCTGTTCCTTATTTGGAGTCGAATGAACCTGAACATTTTTTTTCCAAAATATTATTTTGCTTATGCTTTATTTCATGATTTTTATGAATGATCCTTGCAATTATAATGCAGATTTATCAAAAAAAACTGCAACTGGTGTCTTTCTTTACGTAATTTCTTCAGTTCCTTATTCAGAGTTGAATAAGGAATAAGGAACTGGTTCCCTATTCCTTATTCGACTTTAACATTTTTTTCAAAAAGAAATTATATAAATGCTTTATTTCATGATTTTAATGATTAATCCTTGCAATTCTTATGCAGATTTATCAAAAATAACTGCAAATGGTGTCTTTCTTTACGTATTTCCTTCTGTTCCTTATTCGGATTGGAAAAAGGAATAAGGAACTGGTTCCCTATTCCTTATTCGACTTTAACATTAAAAAAAATATGTAGATGTTTTATTTCATGATTTTAATGATTGATCCTTGCCATCCTTATGCAGATTGATCAAAAATAACTGCAACTGCTGTCTTTCTTTACATATTTTCTTTTGTTCCTTATTCGGAGTTGAATAAGGAATAAGGAACTGAATCCCTATTCCTTATTCGACTTTAACATTTAAAAAAAAAATGTTTATGCTTTATTTCATGATTTTTATGATTGATCCTTGCAATTCTTCTGCAGATTTATCAAAAATAACTGCAACTGCTGTCTTTCTTTACGTTTTTACGTTATTACTCCTGTTCCTTATTCGGAGTCGAATGAACCTGAACATTTTTTTTCCAAAATATTACTATGCTAATGCTTTATTTCATGATTTTTATGATTAATCCTTGCAATTCTTATGCAGATTTATCAAAAATAACTGCAACTAGTGTCTTTCTTTACGTATTTCCTTCTGTTCCTTATTCGGAGTTGAATAAGGAATAAGGAACTGGTTCCCTATTCCTTTTTCGACTTTTATATTTTTTTCAAAAATAAATTATGTAAATGTTTTATTTCATGATTTTAATGATTGATTCTTGCAATTCTAATGCAAATTTATCAAAAATAACTGCAACTGGTGTCCTTCTTTACATACTTTCTTGTTTCTTATTCGGAGTTGAATATGGATATTCCTTATTCGACTTTAACATTTTTTTCAAACATATTTTTATGCAGATGCTTCATTTCATGATTTTTATGATTGATCCTTGCAATTCTAATGCAGATTTATCAAAAATAATTGCAACTGGTGTCTTTTCTTTACGTATTTACTTCTGTTCCTTATTCGGAGTTGAATAAGGAATAAGGAACTGGTTCCCTATTCCTTATTCGATTTTTTTTCTCAAAATAATTTATGCAGATTCTTTATGCAATGATTTGAATGAGGTATAAATTTCATTTTAAATAAATACTAATTCTGTTGTTCCTTATTTAGATTTGAATAAGGAATCAGGAACTAGTTCCCTATTCCTTATTCGAAAAAGGAATAAGGAACTAAAATAATTACAACTGGTGTCTTTTCTTTACGTATTTACTTCTGTTCCTTATTCGGAGTTGAATAAGGAATAAGGAACTGGTTCCCTATTCCTTATTCGATTTTTTTTCAAAATAATTAATGGAGATTCTTTATGCAATGATTTGAATGAGGTATAAATTTCTTTTTTGTTAATAAATACTAATTCTGCTGTTCCTTATTTAGATTTGAATAGGGAATCATGAACAAGTTCCCTATTCCTTATTCGAAAAAGGAATAAGGAACTTTTTGCTTATTCCTTATTCGAAAAAGGAATAAGGAATAAGGAATAGGGAACTAACTTTATGTACATGAAGGGCGACTTATTCGTGTTGTCGCATTAAAATCTCGTATCGGCGCTTTCATATTTTCGTTTTCCATACAGAGATTTAATTTTTTGGAAACTTGTGCACTCACAATAAATTGCAGTTTGCTATCATATTTACTAAACAAAAAGCATATTTTTACACCCTCGCTATTATAATTGTAAAGGTATTACCTATTAGTTATATATACAGTCACAAGGCGAGAACTATAGCGTACACATTTGTTTTTGTACGGCCATATAACCCAGCAATAAATTTTAAACGAATAAAATTTTTTAATGATACTGCACAATTATTTTCTTTAATCAAAATTGAAATTTGAACATAATGGAAGCCACGAACATAAAGGCAGCAGCCGTGTTTATGAATATGTTAAACTCACCACTAAAATCAATGTAGTAAATGTGCAGTGCCATACTGATCACTTGAATATATATTAACATACAACTTACGGATACACTCAGGTTGAGAAAAAGTTTGTTTCTCGCCATGGTATCAAAGTCGAGTGTCTTGGACAGAGTTATGTCTCCTTTCGATGATGCTTGTATTTGGAAATAGTTTGCACCGTCATACTGTTAATTGACGCCATAAAAAAACACACAAAAAACATTGTTTTAAAATGTACATGTCCTGATATTAAAGTGACATCATACCTGACCAAGTGTAAATTGTGGGTGCACAGGTAAAAGTCAACATTTTTAATAATGATTATAATAATAATAATAATAATAATAATGATAATAATAATAATAATAAATAATAATAATAATAATAATAATAATAATAATAATAATAATAACTTAATTTACAGAAGGTAACACATTAAGACATAATTATACAGATTGTAACACCTTATTTACAATGCGGACTTTATTTATAACACACACGCACGCACGCACGCACGCACACACACACACCAACGCACGCACGCACGCACGCACGCACACACACAAGAACACATATCAATCCAAAAAAATAGAAAATTTAATGATTGAACGGTAATATTAAAACACATTTTACTGTAAGAAATACAGATAATACTGGAAATAAATGTATAAATATAAAGAGCTTATCTTGTATATATAATACACACGGACCGTGCTAAAGTTGATTTAATTAGTATTTCTTGAAACTATTTTTACATATTGAAATTTTTTTTTTCTAATAGTCAGCGGTATGAAATTCCAAATAACCATGACATTAAATTGGAATTTGTCAATAAAATGATTAGTTCTTTGTTTGTAAGATGAATTAAATATTCGTGAGATATCGATCTTTGATTATACTTTGGATTATTAGATAGGGATATATTGAGGGGAGATATTATTCAGTGCTTTATATACATGTACTTCGACACCGGTGTGAAAAATAACATCTTTTCTTGAAAGGCAATAATGTTTTTTTTATGTATTATTGGTATGATACTTGCTTCGTGTTTAAAGTACGGTCAATTATGTATTTTTATTCTCATTTTTTATGTAAGAAAATTCATTGTCTTTTTTTTCCTATTCTAGTTTACGAATCATCACAACTTACGTCAATTATACTGTACTTTTCAATAGCGAAGATATAGTTCTCTGCACCCACAACGTCCCGGTCAGTAACCTTTGACTTCAGTGCAAATACCAAAGAACCAACTGTTAGAGACTAAACAAACAAAAAAAGATTTAAAATTCATTTACGAATAAAAGCCCATTACCGAACATATTTACAAAAAAAGGTTTATATTCAGTTGGCTGAAAGACCACAAGGTTAATTACGGATATATTCTTAAAACTTAAACTGTAAGTTTGAGTCAAGATTATTTACGAAAATATTCGGTACATTGCTCAACCATCACCACAAGTTTGCAAAAATTAATAAACTGTTAAAGCAAAAAAAGGTTAAAATTGTACCTCCTGTAGCGTTACGTTGTATGGACCGTTATTAAACACCGGTGGGAATTCGTTGACTGGGGCTACGTTTACAAATACTTCAACCTGAAGTAGACAGTATGTTTCCGAAACAGTGCCGCTTTGCGCAACCGTTTAAACAGTATGGCACGTCCTGGCACATATGAATATATACAGTTTCAGAAGGAATGTATTCCTATATAAAATTATATACAATTATTTCATTCAAAATCAAAGCCATATTTATGGGTCTTGAGTAATGATGATGTAGTGTGCTCATATCTGAATAAATTATATGTTCTGTCCTGTCTCTCTGTATTTTTGAGACTTGTAGCTTTCATAAAGGTTGATCCAGTCAGTAAAATGTACGTCCAAAAGCTGTATTTGTATACGCAGTTTTAACTGTATTTACGTGAGACTATCCGTTGTTAATTAAAGCAAGTCTTATCGTTAATATGTATGGTCATGCTGTAAGTAGAATATTATTAGATTTTGCAAAATTCTAAATATATAAAAATAGAATAATTACAGTAGTTCCGCCGCAAGTGACTTATTAATTCAATATTTCTTATATCCGCTCCATTACTAAAAACAAAAAACATTTT